ATTCTGAATTTCATCAGAATTTTGATAAAATGTCAGGATTTAAACAAGTAATTCATAAATATTCTAATCCAGTGCAAATAAAAAAGGATGACTAATGACAGAAATTGACATAATTTGTTAGGTTTATGTTCTGAAAATAAAGTAAATGTATTCACAAACAGGCAATAATGGCACATTATCCAGCCTAAATTGGTAGAATATTTTTCCTCACCTTGCAGTCTCCTGGCGTAACGCATTGAGAAAAGTTTCTGGATGAAACAGGTCTGAGAGATCTAGGGTCTCTGACAGCAATTTCTGGTTTTCTGCTTTTTCTACCCAGTTCTAAAATAGAACAATAGGAGAACAATGAATCCTGCTGATATGGACTGATTTTTTAACATTTTCAGTTGATGTGGACTTACCTACTGTTCAGATTAATGACGGATGTTTGTTTAAACATACTTTAAACACCAAGTCAACATTAATTTTGAACATTTCAAATTGTCAAACAGAAAGTCAACTACATTTAAAAATATGAGGAAACTTAACAAATGATTATTATGAATACGACTCACTAAAGAAACTAAATTCTACTTCATTCTTTTTACAGTGCAGCTCACTTTGTATAATGAAATTTTTGGTGATATTCTAATGTTCTGTTGTATCTCTATTTTACCTTTACTAAAATAAGAATTCATGTTTTCCATCAAAATGGTTGTCTTTACTCTCTTTGCTTTAGTGAATTCAGACAAATAACACAATTTATTTCAAGTAAAGTTTAAAATGATTCTTTTATATAAACTGCATATTAAAGAACTACTTGATTTTCAACCTGCAGCAGGATTTTTTATAAGTGTATACCAAAAGTTTTTTGAAATTATCTGTTAGTATTAATTCAACATTTTAATTTTTAGTATGTGAAGTTTCAAGAGGTGTTTCATTCATTTCAGATGTATTAGCCCAAGACATGAATTCACAGAATTTCTACTAATAGAAGAAGTAACCTCCTTTATTTCTGGTAGTAAATGAAAACAAGAGTATGTGCATGGGGGTGAATAATTGGCCTCAACTATCCTTGCTGAACATACTACCCAACATAGGTCTTCCACCTTCTCTTACATGCAGATATGAAGCCTGTTACTATGAAAGTCAAGTCCAAAATTGTCTATCAATATACTGTATTTTGTGGCATAAAGAGAAAAGATAAAAGTGTGGCACCTTGCTCTGCAACCTTGATAAGCCATCTACGTTATTAACTAACAAAACCTACAAAACTAACTCTTATAGCTTCTAACGCTTTAATAAAGATGCACTCTGTGTTCCCATAGTCTTATAACAAACCATTGTCACCAAAACCTATGAAGCACAGGTTACTAAATTTTATTTTGAAAGACAATTTTCTCTCCTCATCATCTCCCTCTCCTCTCTTCTTTTTTTAGATCAGGTAGCACTTGGAAGCTCCATTCTCAATTTAAATGGACTAGGAAAGATTCTTTCCCAAACCCAGAAAACTGGGAGGAGGGGATGGAATGTCAACAAATCAAGTGTATATAAATCAATATCTCAGATACCTACCAGGCATGTTGTTGGAATAGTATTTTACTATATTCTCTGAATCACTACTAGATTCTATAAAACTGTCTCAGCAGTGAGAAAATAATCCAAAAATATCACTGAATGAATTTTGGATTTTTTTCTTTGTAAAACATAACTCTACCATAGTCAAACATTTAATGAGTGACCTTTAAACCTGTCACATCACAAATTATGAGCCTTCAACTCAAATGATTATGATTCAGTTAGAGTTTTGCTTTCCATTTTCATTAGCTAAATAAAACAGTAATTGCTCCTGTCTGCATGATTCTTTTAATGACTTTAACAACAACTGTTTTATTGTACAGCAGTAACTATGCATTCAGGTTAGGGTAGATTTTGTAAATTGTTTAGTATAATGCAAGTAATCACAATCATTTCAATTTGCATTTTATATAACCATGTTATTTTTGTCATCAAGTAAACTTTTAATTTAACTGTTAAAGACTAACATTGTCAGGAACATAGATACTTATGTTCCATGCAATTAAAAGACCCATATTGCTTATATTAATTTCTGAACACATATAATTAAGTAGCACTGCAAAACTCACAGTAATAAAACTTTCATTAGACCACAAAAGACAGTTTGCAGTTGCTATTTATACAGGTCTGCAAAAAGCTGAAGACATAATAACTCTTTCACATCTGTTTAATAAATAATTTAGATTAAAATGCAATAAAAATGCTAATAAAATGTATTTTACCACAGGCACATGAATAATTTATTATGTTCTTCCTCTAATATGACCATGGGGCAGAAAGTTGGTGAATTTCTATGGTCTCAGCTATGGTCTCAGTTGTCACAAATACATCCACTGCCACTGCCATAACACTTAGAATAGATCAGTGATGGGCAGGACACTTAAGCTGAATTGTGGAAATACTGAAGTGATATTTCTTGAAAGGAGGAATGTTTTAACATATCAGCTACAATATTTTCATTTCCCTTTCACTATATTCTCCTTCATAGCATTTCCCACTGCTATAACGATATACATTGACTTCAGTTATCAAACTGATGTAAAGTTGTTTTATTTCTTATTATCTTGGATGACCACGTAGCTTTTCAGTCTGCAGTAGCTCCTTCCATCAGCAGCTCAGTAGAAAACGCTGCCTGTCCTGACAGGTTAGCCAACTTAATCCATTTGTCACTTGCCACCCGGATCACAGTAATTCAGTGAATTTAAGGCTGAATGAAAAGACTACAACCAAGACTGTGTAAAACTTAGCTACTGCTTTCTTTGTGATTTTGAACAACACCCATGCTCTCTCTAGTGCCCCCTTTTCTTTGTCATTTTTGTTGTTTTTTATCTCCAAAAGGGTTAATAGTCAAAATCTAAACGATCATAACCAGGTTTCAGCCTATGTTACAGCTGTGATTCATTGTGTTAGATACAATAGTTTATAATATCCATGAAAATGTATTTGAAAGCGATTAATAGCGTTTGGCTTAGAAACAAAATTAAATGAATCCTGAGTCTAACTGCTTTGGAAATAATGTGCAATTTATTTTTTAAAAACACCTTTCCATTACACCAATATTTATATCAATATTTATATTACAAAATAAGAAAGCAATAATCTATGCTGTACTCTTCTTTGTAAAAGGTACCATTACCACAATTTTAGTAAATCCTTCTTAGAATCTTTAATTATAAGTTAAGTTTAAACAGTTACGACAGATTAATTTGGCATATGAGGATTATAAATATAATAGCAAAACTTATCAAAAATGTCAAAAGAGCTTTGCAAAACAATTCCTAGTAGAATATTTTAAAACTTTAATTAATGCAAGTTTCTTCTTTGTATAATAAAATAATTTTCTTTACTACTAAAATGGATCTGTAAGCATGGCCTCGGGGGGTTCAGTTAGTACTTTTTCATGTATCTTAACATCCAGGAAACATTTTTTCCATTTTCAGAAAGAAGCTTTCCTTATCTCCTATAATCCCAATGCAAACTGAGCACCTTCTATTATACTGGAAGGAAAAAGAAAGGTTGCTGGTGGATTTTAACATTATCATTTGTACAACTTTAGATTCACAGAACTCCTCTACAATGAATCAAATACTTTCCTTTACCTGTTTTAATTCATTTCAAATGTATTTGCTGCTACAGTATTGCTTTCCCCTTGGTGTGATCCCAGTAGAATTAGCTTAAGGAAAATCATGTAAATCACTACAGAAGTGATTTCATTTTTGTGTCTATACAGAAAAACTGTATTCAGAATATATATAGAATATACATTTCTGATTTTGCACTGGTGTTGGATGGATTGAATGTTATTAAAAAAAAATAATTACTTCAGACATGTCCAACAGCGAACAATGGTGAATAATGATGTTAAGGGAGAGAGTAGTCAGTAAACAAGAGTTTAGATGCAGCACAGGTCAGTTAAACAGTTATGCTGGAGTCCTATTTCCTTCGCAATGCAGCAGCTGCTCCACATGCATATGCTTAAGTTGTGTCATTTCATCGTAAATGCAAGCTAGAATACTTGTGTTTTAATGCAAATATATGAAATTAAGTAATTTTTTCTGACAGTAAGCACCGAGAGTGTAACACGTAGCTACCCAGCAGCAATTGGCATATAATGGTTTGCTATCCTGTGGCATTTGCTTCTATGTGAAATTCTTGAGATATTGTAGGTAAATGACGTGACCATGGCTCATGAACATATGAGTACTGCAGTATTTCACATATATGATAAGATATGCATGCTATCTTTTAAATGGTAAATCATGCAGGAATTAAATTTGGAGACAAAAATTTATTTTTCTTTAAATATTTTTCTAATTTTATTTTATTATTTCAGAGCATGTAGACCAAAACTGTTAAGTGCTTTAAAGAAAATACTAATTCTTCACTTCAGTTTGATATGCCTCAGAAGCTTCGTGTTTGTTCAATAAATCCGGAAACTAACATAACAGCACAGTGTCTGAGCATATAAATTCTGAGTCCATTAGGCTCAACACTAGCTAACAATGTGCCAGGAGCAGAGGTGCAGTAAGGCATAGCTAAGGGAAGCATAAGCATTAGCATGAGAAAAATGGGGTCTCATTTCAGTTACTGTATTAATTTATATTTATCAAAACTGGGACATAGTTTTCTATGAGTTGCTCTTTCCTGTATTCAGTAAGGACAGCAAAATGACCACTCTGCATAAGACCTGTAACTATTAGAGAAGTTATTCACTTTAAACTAACAGATGACAGATTATCAAATCTTAAGTATCAGCTTTAAAAAAAAAATTCTATATTACCATTAAGCATAAAATCTAATTAGAGAATTCTTCTTTGCTTTAGGCTTTCAGCTAACAGTAAACACAGTTAATTAGTTTCTCCTAACACACTCCATTGAGACTGCAAAATATAGAGAAAATCTTTCAACCATACCTGCATAGAAAACACCTCTTCTATACTATTATGCCATTTTCCAGTCATGACTAATCTAACTTTCAGATACACATGCCGTGTTTCCTGCACAAAAGAGTTTAATAAGAAATTGTTTGCTTCTATGGGATACATGTTTCAAAATACCCCATAACCAAAAAAGGGAAATTTCATCTTCCCTAAGGAAAAGGAAATCACAGAACAGGAACAGTGGCTGATGCAATCCCGCGCTGACAAAAGAACTAAGTAACTGTGTGGCCATGGCTTGCACCACAGCATCCTGGCACATGGCCTCTTCACCGATGCTAAAGCTCCCAGACTCCACCGAACTGAACACCAGCAGATTTCTGCTCA